GCTAAAGATCAGCTGGCAAAGAATCTGCCTGCAAAGCAGGAAACCCCGGTTCAGTTCCTGGGTCAGGAAGTTCCCCTGGAGAAGGTGTAGGCCCCCCACTTCAGTATTCTTGGACTTTTCTGGTGACTCAGATGGTAAAGAATCTGCCTGCAGTGTGGAAGACCTGGGTTCCATCCCTGGGTGGGGAAGATCCCTTGAGGGAGAGCATGGCAACCCACTCCAGTATCCTTGCCTGGAGAATTCCCATTGACAGAGGAGCCTGGTGGGCTACAGCTCATGGGGTCACAAAGAGTCGGACACGAATGAGCGACTAAGCATACATGGATTGGGATGGAGAAAGTTTTGCTGAAGTTGGTTAGAAGAGAAGGAGCTAAAAGCTCATGTGTCATTGCCTTTCATCCAAAGACCACCAGGAAAATACCTGTAGTCAAGTAAGGTGGGTTTATTACTCATTGTAGCAAGAGAGAATGGACTCCATACAGAACTGCTGGGAGTCCCAGTAAGAGGGAGTTAGAAAGAACTATTATGGGATTTGGGGTCGGTTGGGAAAGGTTCAAAGAAGCCAGAGCTTGCCCTAGATAGAAAGAATTCAGTGACTGAGTATCTCAATACATCATATCTATAAGGAAGGAAGACAAGCAATATAAAGTTATAATTGGTAAAGTAGCAGTCTTGCTCAGTGAAGAGATGAAGGTTCTTAGTATTTTATGGGTGGCAACTCATCTGAAGTGGGGAAGATCTTACCCTTGTGACTCTCAGAGGAAACCAACCCTGCTGGCACCTTGATTTTGGACTGCCAGCTTCCAGAACTGTGAGAAAATCAGCCTCTGTGCTACAAGCCACCCAGTCTGTGGTATTGTGTTATGGTAGCCACAGCAAACTAACACAGGCCTATAACAAGTAAAGAAACAGAAATAGTAACCAAACACTTCCAATGCAGAAAAAGCCCAGGCCCAGACGGCTTCACTGAATTTTCAGTTCAGTCGCTCAGTCATGTATGACTCTTTGAGACCCCATGGACTGCAGCACGCCAGGCCTCCCTGTCCATCACCAACTCCCAGCGTTTACTCAAACTCATGTCCATTGAGTCAGTGATGCCATCCAACCATCTCATCCTCTGTCATCCCCTTCTCACCCACCTTCAATCTTTCCCAGCATCAGGGTCTTTTCAAATGAGCCAGCTCTTCGCATGAGATGGCCAAAGTATTGGAGTTTCAGCTTCAGCATCAGTCCTTCCAGTGACCATTCAGGACTGATCTCCTTTAGGACAGAATGGTTGGATCTCCTTGCAGTCCAAAGGGCTCTCAAGGGTCTTCTCCAACACCACAGTTCAAAAGCATCAATTCTTCGGCACTCAGCTTTCTTTATAGTCCAACTCTTATATCCATACATGACTATTGGAAAAACCATTGCCTTGACTAGATGGACCTTTGTTGGCAAAGTAATGTCTCTACTTTTTAATATGCTGTCTAGGTTGGTCATAACTTTTCTTCCAAGGAGTAAGCGTCTTTTAATTTCATGGCTGCAATCACCATCTGCAGTGATTTTGGAGCCCAGAAAAATATGAAGCCTGACACTGTTTCCACTGTTTCCCCATCTATTTGCCATGAGGTGATGGGACCAGATGCCATGATCATAGTTTTCTGAATGTTGAGCTTTAAGCCAACTTTTTCACTCTCCTCTTTCACTTTCATCAAGAGGCTCTTTAGTTTTTCTTCACTTTCTGCCGTAAGGGTGGTATCATCTGCATATCTGAGGTGATTGATATTTCTCCCAGCAATCTTGATTCCGGCTTGTGCTTCCTCCAGCCCAGCGTTTCTCCTGATGTACTCTGCATATAAGTTAAATAAGCAGGGTGACAATATACAGCCTTGACGTACTCCTTTTCCTATTTGGAACCAGTCTGTTGTTCCATGTCCAGTTCTAACTGTTGCTTCCTGACCTGCATACAGATTTCTCAAGAGACAGGTCAGGTTGTCTGGTATTCCCATCTCTTTCAGAATTTTCCACAGTTTATTATGATCCACACAGTCAAAGCCTTTGGCATTGTCAATAAAGCAGAAATAGATATTTTTCTGAAACTCTCTTGCTTTTTCAATGATCCAGCGGATGTTGGCAATTTGATCTCTGGTTCTTCTGCCTTTTCTAAAGCCAGCCTGAATATTTGGAAGTTCACAGTTCACATATCATTGAAGCCTGTCTTGGAGAATTTTGAGCATTACTTTACTAGCGTGTGAGGTGAGTGTAATTGTGCCATAGTTTGAGCATTCTTTGGCATTGTCTTTCTTTGGGAAGTCTTTCACTGAATTTTACTAACCATTTAAAGAAGATTTGTACCAATTCTTCAGAAACCTCCAAAACAAGCAGAAGATAAAGAAATACTTTCTGATTCATCCTACAAAACCACTATTACTGTGATATCAAAACCAAAGACATCACACACAAAGAAAATTACAATCCAATATCATTCAGATGCAAAAATCCTCAGGAAAATATTAGCAAATCCCATCTAGAAACATATTTTTAAAAAGGGGGGAGCTATATATCATGGCCAAGTGAAATTTATTCCAGGAAGGCAATTTTGGTTTAACATCCAAAAATCAATTAATGTAAAACATTATAGTGTAGAATAAAATACATCTTTATTGATCATTTCAATAGATGCAAAAAAAGGCATTTGACAAAATGCAATACCTCTTCATGATAAAAGCACTCCACATATTGGAAATAGAAGGCAATTTCCTCAATGTAACAAGAACATCTATGAAAAACCCACAGCTAACATCTTACTTAATGGCAAAAGACTGAAAGCGTTCCCTCTGAGATCAGGAACTAGGCAAGGATGCTTATTCTCACCACTTCTATTATATAACATTATATAATATTTATATATATAATGTAATGCTAGAGGTTCTAACCAGGGCAATTAGGCAGGAAAAAGCATCCAGATAAAACAGGAAGAAGGAAAATTCTCCTGTTTGCAGAGAACATATCTCACCTACATATCTAGGCTTTTCCTCTCACCAGAGCTGAAGCTGAATGGGAAACAGTATCAAGTTTCTTTGCAAAGACTCCCCCTTCCTGCCTTTTCTCCTTCTGAATAACCACAGCGCTCTATTTTTCAGGTCCTCCAGATTGGTGTCATCACACAGAGCCAAGGCACCGCCTTCAGTGATAAACACCGGGCTTGCTCTTCCACATGCTGGGCAATGAGGTCCCCCCATCAAAGAGACACTCCTGTGCCACGCGTTTGTGTTCTCACTGCTGACTCCACTCAGGGTGTGAAAAACCCTGTGAGCTACAGCCCTCAGTGGTGCAGCTGCTGTCCCCGACTCCCCAAACCCTCCCTACACAAAACCTCATACAGCCTGAGGGCTTCCTCTGGTCACAGAGCTCACCCTGCTGGATAATCAACCACCGTTCCTGGCTGTCTTCCCGCCTGCTCACCTCCTCCTGCCTCTGTCCCCTCCCCTCAGCTGATGCATCCTGGCCCCAGGTAAACCACTTGCACAGCAACCCTTGTCTCAGGTTCTGGAGATCTGAAAACTGCAATAGTCACAGCGGGTCATGAAATCAACTTAGTGGACCTTGACCAGGGAATTCATAAAATTGAAATGGAACAGGCAGTATCAGAGTGCCCTGTCTGCATCTAGCTCAATTTGGGACAGTAGACTGGGTCATGTAAACTCTATAACTGGGAGACAAAGGTAAGAACACGTACGAAAAATCTGCTCTAAAGACTTTTCATTGTTTTAGAAACAATTTTCTTGTCAACATAGACCTTTAAAAGAAAAAAGTGCCACTTTTCTAGAATATGCTAAGGAGAGGCCAGAGAATAAGAGCTAAGTTTTCCCGATAGGAGGGTGCTTGATATTTTATTCTCTGAATTTTGTGACTAATTTTCAAAAAATTATACAATAATTATCCCAGGAAGACTCTGGTGAGAGTGACATCTAGAGCCTGCTGCTGGTATGGTGAAGCGCACATTTTTGAGTTAGCAATCCTATAAAGCCTTGGACTTACGCTAAGAAAAAAGAATTCAAAGAATTCAAATGCAATGCGTAGAATGACACACGGCAGTGCTGTAAGTTCCATAAACATGAAAACAACTTAAAAGTCTGCTTAATAAGAGGGATTTATGGAGCACTTTCTCTTGGAGAAAAGCTTTGAAGTTGAGTTCCCAGAGTACTTTTCAGGAAGACTGAGGGGGAATTGTCAGTCGTTTATATATTTAAAAAAAAAAAAAACCTCAACAAAACGGCTGGTGAAAGCTGGGGCACTCTAGGCGCCTCGGTGGCCGCAGCCCCCAAGTCGTGCTCAGGCCTGCAGACGGGTTTGATGGCAGTGCAGCACCACATATTACAAGCTGAGGACAGAACCAGCTCTCGCATGGGTTCCAGTACTCACAGATAAAACCTGACATAAGAAACCACAGCGGGAGCAGGCGGCTTTGCGGCTCCAGAAAGAGGAGCGGTTGGCAACAATTTGTCCTTTAAGCTTGGCACCCAAGACCACACCAGGCCTGTGGCCAACCGGGACACAAAATCTCCACGTGGGGTGTGGAAGACGAATTGTTCTTAAAAAGAGAACGTTCTGCAAAGCGCAGAACGATCAATACTCAGGTCTCCCAGACCCACGAGAATATAATGGATTACACAGGAGGCCATCTCAAAGTTGTTGTGAAGAAGTATGAATATTCGGACTGCGAGAGCCGAGGGCCAAGGGTGTGAGGGAGCTGTGCTCACGGCGGGCGATTCCCCAAGGATGGGGTGCACGTCGCCCTGGGGAGCAGGGGCCCGAGCATCCCCCGGCCCGCGCCGCCCCGCCCGGCCCCACCAGCAGGGGCGCGCTCGAGCCCCGCGTTCCCGGGCGGGGCGGCGCGGGCCCGGCGGCCCCGCTCTCGCCGCCCCGGGGTGTGGTTCCCGCGGCCGGGTTTAAAACGCTGGCCCGCGGGGCCCGGCTCACTCGCGCTCCCGCCGCCGCCGCCGCTGCGCCCCGCCATGGAGCGGTCCCCGCTGCCCGCCCTGCTCCTCGGCGCCGCCGGGCTGCTGCTCCTGCTCCTGCCCCTCTCCTCTTCCTCCTCTTCGGACGCCTGCGGCCCCTGCGAGCCGGCCGCCTGCCCGCCCCTGCCCCCGCGGGGCTGCCAGCTGGGCGAGACCCGCGACGCGTGCGGCTGCTGCCCGGTGTGCGCCCGCGGCGAGGGCGAGCCGTGCGGGGGCGGCGGCGCCGGCAGGGGGCACTGCGCGCCGGGCATGGAGTGCGTGAAGAGCCGCAAGAGGCGGAAGGGTAAAGCCGGGGCAGCAGCGGGCGGCCCGGTGGTGAGCGGCGTGTGTGTGTGCAAGAGCCGCTACCCCGTGTGCGGCAGCGACGGCGTCACCTACTCCAGCGGCTGCCAGCTGCGCGCCGCCAGCCTCAGGGCCGAGAGCCGCGGGGAGAAGGCCATCACCCAGGTCAGCAAGGGCACCTGCGAGCAAGGTGGGCACCGGCGCCTTCCCCGTGGGTCCCGCCCCGCCCCGCCCCGCCCCGCTGAGAGAGCCGGGCGCCCCCTGGCGGCGCAGAGGCGGCAGGGCGTCTGCAGCCGGCGCTCCCGGCTGATTCCCGCGGCTGCTCCCGTGGGCATCCCAGGAGACAGGAGCTGGGGGAGTCGGCCGTCGTGGGATGCCGCGAGGGAGGGGTGGGCGACGCCTCCTCTTCTCTCTCTCTCTCTCTTTTTTTTTTTTTTGGTAATTTTATTTTGAGAGTTCGGTGCATGCGCCAAAAAAGTGAGGACTCGTGGAGCGAGCGTATATATAGAAAAGATGTCCCGATAGCACAGACTCTCCCGTCCCCAAAGCCCAGCCGGCACATACTAACAACTGTCAAATCGATTCACAAAAGCTGCCCCCACTCTTTGGGGAGCCCAGAAATACATTTTCGCTTCATTCTTTCTTGGCTTGAGTGTTTTGATAGAGATGAAGGCAAGAGATAGGGGAAAGGAGTTTGACGACGAAATACAGAATAAGGCCTTTCAGAGAGAAGTTGTCTCGCGTTTGATGAACTAGATTGTAAGAATTTTAAAAATTAGATTTCATGGTTTCTCAATGTTAAGGGAAATAATTCACTTACTGTACGTTACAGACTCTCAAACAGTAATTTAAACTATCTAGTTATTTGTGGGTTTAAAAAAAAAAAAAACTCTTTAAAGATGTCATATATATTGTGAACCTTATGACTATTTTGTTTTTCTTTCTTCCTCCTTCTTTCTTTCTCTCTCTCTTTTTTTTTTTTTTGAATAATTTGTCCCCAGGATGCACTTTTCAGCAGGAATGCCTTTGAGGTTATATTTGGTCGTTTATTTTATTCCAGACAAGTCCAAGCTTGCCATAAATGAAAGGGGAAAATAAAGAGAGTCTGGACTTGCAAAATAAAAGGAAGGGGCTTTTAATTCTCGTGTCTGAAATAACATTTTCCACAGAAAGCAGTTTCAGGGGAAAGTTAGAAATCCAACCTTGGCAGCCCCATTCCTGGTCCCAGCCAAGGCAGAGAAAGGGAGAGAGGAGGCAGTTCTCCTGAAATGACAGAAGCAGTTGCTCCTTTAACTCAGCTCAGACTTTCTCCAAGCTCCCCAAGCAGTTATTTTTTTAGAGTTTTTCCCAGAAGTCCAAATGACAAGTAGGTCATCTGTCGCTGATTGAAAGCCTTAAATAGTGTAACCAACGTTAACTATTTATATCATCACCTTAAACTTAGAAAAACCGCCATGCAAAGTAATCCACATGCTCTTCCAACAGAAACAGGCATTTGTTCCTTTGGATCTAACTTATCAGTCATACCATGAAAAAAGAAATGCGCGTAGTTGAAGAATTCATTCCAAATATTGACATTTTTCTTACACATTCCAAGGGGAATTTTTCCCCACAGCCTCCGAATCAATGGAATTTGCCTTATCAGAGCAGAAGGTTAGCTAGAAGATTATTTAAGTATTACGGTCACTTCTAGCCTGTAGCTAGTTTTATTCATCTTCTCTCATTGCTATTTACATCTCTAAACACTCACACAGTGCACTTATAAAATATTTAGACTGATAGTCATGTAGAAGTAATCATGTAGCCTCATTATCATGTAATCCTTGATTCTCAGCGTTTCTCCAAACTTTAAACGTCATGAGGATACAGACCTAGTTTTCCTTTATGTTTGGGAAAATGTTAAGAGAAACTGGAAACTTCTGAAACTGGAAACCTTGTCATAAATTAGTCCCCCCCCCCCCCCAATCTAAGTTAGAGATAAGGAGTCTAATGCCTGAGACCATTTTATAGAAAAAAGTCGGGGAGAGCAGAAAAGAATGTGAGGTCCACCAGAGTACGTTTCCACAGCAGAGATAAATGGGGCTAAAGCCAGATCTAATCTGTTTCTCCTGATTCCTGAAGGTATTCTGACCCATCATAGAAGCAAGCCCATCAGAGTACCTTTAACCTCCGTGCCGTTTAGTACTGGGCCTTTGCAAAGAATAGAAATGCATTCTCCAGGTTCTTCAGTCTAGAAAGGGTTCTTCTTCTACCCTCAGAAGAGACTCGAGTTATGCCTCCTCAAGTACTGAGATGGAGAGGGCATCGCTATTTGTCTCACTTAACCTGCATTTACTGAGAGCATGTGGCAGGTGTCAGCACTCTTGCTAGATGCTGTGCTGTTGAGGATGCACATAAGAAGTCTGGCCTTGCTGATTAACAAAGTATCCATACACGTTACAGACCTGTCACCCAGAGCACTTTCCCTGGAGCCCTGGAGAACCCTGATCTGAAAGGTAGTGACCTAGTAATCTCACCTAAGACTGTCATCATGAATTTAGTGCCAGTAGATCTTATTGAGGTCCCTGAAGCCATGAGTAACTTTAAGAGATTTGAAAATTCAGTTTAATAAAAAGTTAATAAAGGGACTTCCCTAGTGGCCCAGTGGCTAAGACTCTGTGCTCCCAATGCAGAGGGCCTGGGTTCAATCCCTGGTCAGGGAACTAGATCCCAGTTCAGTTCGGTCACTCAGTTGTGTCTGACTCTTTGCGACCCCATGAACTGCAGCACTCCAGGCCTCCCTGTCCATCACCAACTCCCGGGGTCCACCCAAACCCATGTCCATTGAGTCAGTGATGCCATCCAGCCATCTCATCCTCTGTCGTCCCCTTTTCCTCCTGCCTTCAATCTTTCCCAGCATCAAGGTCTTTTCCAGTGAGTCAGCTCTTTGCATCAGGTGGCCAAAGTATTGGAGTTTCAGCTTCAGCATCAGTCCTTCCAATGAACACCCAGGACTGATCTCCTTTAGGATGGACTGGTTGCTGCAAATAAGAGTCCACATGCCACAACCAAGACTTGGCACAACCAAACAAATAATTTTTTTTAAAAAGTTAATAGAGTTGCCAAGATGTGTAATAAAATCTCACAAGGAAGAACACCATGCCTCTTTATTCTGTGTCTTGGTTACTCTTTTTGTGCATAATCCTTTATGTCTGAGTTACTTGGCAATTCCTTGGTCCTGGTGTCTCATTCCCTCTTCTCCCTCAGAATTAAGTTTTTACTTGTAGAATCAGAATTCATTCTCATGAGTCTTTCTTTCTAGTACCTTTGTTGTTTGCTATTATTCCATCGTAAGTCATGTCCGACTCTTTGTGACCCCATGGACTTCGGCACACTAGACTCCACTCTTCTCCAGCGTCTCCTGGAGTTTGCTCAAATTCATGTCCCTTGAGTCAGTGAGGCCATGCAACCAACCATCTCATTCTCTGCTGCCTCCTTCTCCTTTTGCCTTCAGTCTTTTCCAGCATCAGAGTCTTTTTCCCATGAGTCAGCTCTTCACATCAGATGACCAAAGTACTGGAACTTCAGCTTCACCATCTGTCCTTCCAGTGAATATTCAGGGTTGATTTCCTTTAGGATTGACTGATTTGATCTCTTTGCTGTCTAAGAGAGTTTCAAGAGTCTTCTCCAGCACTGCAATTTGAAAGCATCAATTCTTTGGCACTCATCCTTCTTTATGGTCCAACTCACATCTGTACATGACTACTGGAAAACCCATAGTTTTGACTATACGGACCTTTGTTGACAAAGTGTTGTCTCTGCTTTTATATACACTCTTACGTTTGTCATAGCTTTCCTTCCAAGGAGTACGTGTCTTTTAGTTTCATGGCTGCAGTCACCATCTGCAGTGATTTTGGAGCCCTAGAAAATAAAATCTGTCACTGCTTCCACTTTTTCCCCATCTATTTGCCATGAAGTGATGGGATCGAATGCCGTGATCTTATGCCATGAATTTTATGAATGTTGAGTTTCAAGCCACGTTTTTACTCTCCTCTCAACCTCATTAAGAGGCTCTTTGGTTCCTCTTCACTTTATGCCTTTAGGGTAGTATCATCTACATAACTGAGGTCGTTGATATTTCTCCACTGAGATTAGGTTGTTGATATTTCGCCCAGCAATCCTGATTGCAGTTTGTGATTCATTCAGCCCAGCACTTCACATGATATATTTTGCAAATAGGCTTCACTGGTGGCTCAGTTGGTAAAGAATCTGCTTGCAATGCAGGAGAACCAGGTTTGATTCCTGGGTCAGGAAGATCCCCTCGAGAAGGGAATGGCAACCCACTCCAGTATTCTTGGCTGAAAAATTCCATGGACAGAGAAATCTGGTGGGCTGCAGATCACAGGATTGCTAAGAGTCGGACACAACCGATTGACTACAAATAAATTAGTAATAATTTGCATATAAGTTAAATAAGCAGGGTGACAATATACAGTCTTGTCATACTCCTTTCCCAATTTTGAAGTTGTCCCGTTGTTCCATGTCTGGTTCTAACTGTTACTTTTTGACCTGCAAACAGGTTTCTTAGGAGACAGGTAAGGTGGTCTGATACACTCATCTCCAAGAATTTTCCAGTTTGCTGTGATCCACACAGTCAAAGGCTTTAGCATAGTCAATGAAGCAGAAATAGATGTTCTTCCCTTGCTTTCTCCATGATCCAATGAGTGTTGGCAATTTGATCTCTGGTTCCTCTACTTTTTCTAAACTCAGCTTATATATCTGGAATTTCTCAGTTCATGTTCTGCTGAAGTCTAGCTTGAAGGATTTTGAGCACAATATTGCTAGCGTGTGAAATAAGCAAATGGCTCAGACAGTAAAGAATCTGCCCGCAATGCAAGAGATTGGGGTTTGATCCCTGGGTCAAGAAGATCCCCTGGAGAAGGGAATGGCTTCCCACTCCAATATTCTTGCCTAGAGAATTCCATGGACAGAAGAGCCCTGGCAGACTACAGTCCATGTGGTCGCAGAGTCAGACTGTACTGAGTGACTAACACTTTTACTTGAACATTCTTTGGCACTGCCCTTCTTTGGGATTGGAATGAAAACTGACCTTTTTAGTCCTGTGGCCATTGCTGAGTTTTCTAAATTTGCTGACATACTGAGTGCAGCACTTTAACAGCATCATCTTAAAGGATTTTGCCTAGCTCAGCT